CATTTGCAGCTCGAAGTCCTTGAATTAACGACAATCATTAATGTACATTAACAAAGCAATGGTTTTATCCGGTATTAAGTAAATACCTTCAACTAATCTTCGGTATTCTTCTTGAAGTTTCTTTTTATCGGTTTCCTTAATCCTTTATAATATGTTAAGAGATGTATAAAAAATTTGGTTATACACTAATGTCGATAAATACTTTTAACTATTGAACATAGTGATTGCAAGGTAAAAATTTTACTTTTTAACTTTCTTATCCATAACGTCTAAGGCGGTTTGGCATCTATCAATGGTTTTTCTAGATATCTTTACAGTCATAGATTCAATGCAAACGTTATCTAGATGAAGTCGGAAAGATCGAAATTTAAGTTGTAATTTGTTTTAAACGTAGCGATATATTTTGCATTATCTGGTTGCTGTGAAGTCAAAGATAGATACCAATGTTGTGAGCTTCATCGAAGACCACTACAGATTGTTTAGACATTTCCTTAGATACTAAATCGGCAATTTTCGGATCTAGCAAGTAATAATAGCTATACACCACCACATTTGCGTGCAAGATCTATTAAATAATACACTTTAGTACTTTATTACATACTTGTAGTTAACAAATCATTACTAAGATTGAACAATAGATAAAAAATTTTAATTATAACGAACACTACGATATACCGTAATAAATTAAATTTAAATTTGATTAAAACGTCCATATTATAATACGAGTATATTCTATTTACTGAATGCCGAGCAAGAAAATAAGGACACCATCCTTGTTTTGCACCAAAGTCTTTTAAGTCATCCTAAGAAGAATAGAAAAGATTATTTATTACCATTTGATAAGATTTAGTGCAGAAAAGTATACAACTAAGAAATCTTACCAGGTTATAGACTCCAGGAGGTAAAACAGAGTCTCGACCAAATGTATCAAATTTCTATAATGTTATCAGAGAAGCCACATAATTTGATAAATATTTTGTTATATAAATCGCATACAATTATATATAATCATTAACCTAATTTCTTTACTGAATACATGGAAGATTGCAATTAGAAATAATATACCTCAAAAAAGCTGCAAACTTCTACTGATCGATCTTGTTGATGGTTTCTACGTACATAAGATGCAGTTAAACCAAGACATCTGCCATCAACAACCTTACCATCACGTTCTTTGCTGATCTGCAAATGAAATACTAATTACTAATTCCCTCTAAAGTTAGTACATAAAGCAACAGTTTTAGCGTGGTAGCCTACCTCTGGGTGTATACAAAGATTCTTACGAGCACTAAGACCTAGTCCAAGAAATTTCTGTTTTTCTCCGGTTTGTTTCTCGTAGTATTCGAGAAGAATTTTCATTTCTTCCAACGCCTGGAAAGCATATTAAGAATAAAAGTTATTCTTTATGTCCAACAAAATGAATTAGTTGTCCAATTGTACAAGCATTTGAAATTTCACACGTCAAAGAAATGATTGAAAGAACGATTACAAGATTTACCTTCTCAATTTCTGGTACTGTACGTGAACAATATATTAATTTGGTGATATGCAACGGATAAACCTATATCAAGGAAAAATTGAACGCCATTAATACGATCTGAGATTATAGTGATCAAAATTGAGATTCCCTTAAATAAATTTGTAATTCATTAAATTATTACCATACTGTGAAAGTTAGGTTGTGGTCATGTTACGTGAGAAATTGCTAAAATAATGATGTAGAAGTTCTTAACAAGTTGTTGTATATTTACTGAAACAATTTATACCTTTTGATATGCTATAATTAAAGATAATAGGGATATAGTTTTACCAGTCCCTGAAGGCATCTCCAAAGCGCAGTGGCCCTATAATTAGAGTATAGAATTAGTTAAACTAGAGATTTAATTTAAAATTATACTGTATACTGCTATAAATAAGTAATTCTAACATGTAAGGATCTATACCACTTATTATAAAACATTTTGATAGATTATGAAATATTTATAACAACTGCACTATACTGTACTGTATTATGTATATATGATATCACGCTCTTTTTTGTATTAGTGTACGTATTATGTTGTTTTACGTAGTAATGTAACCGAAACTGAATTCCTAAAATGTACGCATGAAATTATAATTACTGCTAGGTATGAGTTACCGCCATCAAGGTGGTGGGCAATGAACTAGTATTTATAATTTAAATATTAGAAATAAATATTGGCATTAAAGAGACCACTTTGCATAGTAAGGATAGAGAGTTGCATAGCGAATTAACAGGATTTGAAAATGGTTAACATACGAAATATATACAGTAGTTGATAGTAATAGAATTTCTATAAACATATTACAAAAGTAAAAATAATTACTGTATACACGTTTTAACATTAAATTGTAAGCATTGGATTCCTAGAGTAGTTATTTTAATATGTATTTTTATAGTAAAACTTTTGTTTTATAACTTTACCAGACGATGAAGGTCGCATGATGTAAAAATAAACATAGTTTAAGTAGCACAATGCTTCTACCAAGATCTGAATCCAATCATAAAGCTAGATAACAGTACATGGATGCTACAATGAAAAAGATATACTTGTAGCATCCATTACAATATCCCTTTTAGGGATATTTTTTCGTTAACTTTCGCTGCTAATTATTAAGTTACAATCATACCCTATTCTGATCCTTTATTTCAATATCAAATCAGATCGTAATGGTGACATAATTCGATGATATATAAGTAAATACTAGTGTCAAATTATTGCAGTGATATGATTTAAATTTTTAGCTACTTTTCTTCCTATTGCTACCATTTATATGTCTAAATGGTTTTATTGGTTGCAACTTTATCTTGAGAGTTTAATATATTGAAGTAGTTGATGATGAGTTCAGTTAGCATAATGAATGTTTAGTGTAATATTATGATAGATAATAGTAAACAATATTAACCTTTGCATCAAGAGCTCGCTTGAGCTCACACATATATGAGTATTGTTCAGGATAGATATAATCATAGGGAAAATAGACCAATAAGCCATCAATATTCAACCTGTAATAGATTTTATTAACAAATTTAGCACAAAATACATATATCGGTATTTGACTGATATCATTATAAGCTTATCAAAAGTCGTGGACATGCATTACTTTTAGGAGATTCTATATAACTTATTTAGTGTAAAGGAATTTATCATTCAGATTGCTAGCGTATTTTCCGCCTGTAATTAATTATTGTAATGGTATGATGGATTAGTAAGTTGATATCAAACGTTCGCAATAGTATTCTAACTGTAGTAGTAGATTAAGTTAATATTAATTAGTTACTGATGAACACTACACTTGACTTTTTTCTGACCTGCAATCCTATTCCTACTATGATTGTTAATAGAGAGGATCTCTAATTTTTACTGTAGCAGTAGACTATATGACAAATGGTAGACTAGAAATTCTGCATGTTAGTACTGGTCTGTAATTGCAGAAACTATTTTGATGCTACAACTGGCAATTATCCTTCAGCAGCTATTTCATTTAATGCAGCTATGCACGCTTCCAGCATAGCAAAGATTCTCTATTGATTGGCTACTTGTAACAATTGCACGTACTATTCTTCAGATTACAATTTTTAAATATCAATACGGTTATGGCAATCATCCTATTAACGATAATGGTTTGCTATGCACTAATATTAGAGTCCGTAAATGATGCTATTGCCTCGTGGAATTGAATTCTATTGATAATAACCATGACAGTATCGTTCTGTAGCAAACAATTGTAAATACCCATACATCTCGTCTTAACACTATATCATAAATACGTTGAATTCGTGATTCTTGCTTACTTCATGATATAAATTTAGCCTAATCTTTGACGTTTTGAGGGCTGAATTGGAAAACTAGACAAATCGCTGCTGTGTAACGTTGAATATCCGGTGAAATATTGGCAGTTATTGATGTAATTTTGCATTTAGACCTGGGCCATCAGCAGCTATCAAGCTTCCAGCCAGTATACCACTAATAACACCAGGGTAGTGGTGAGATACTGTAGTCATACAGAACAGTACAAGAGTTACTGGAAGACCTTGACCAAGTTGGTAATGTGTACTGTCCACTCACAGTGTACAGTGTACAATAGGCCGGACTGAAGACTGTAAAATACATACCGTACACTGTACACTGTACTGTACACTGTACTGTACAGTACATACCTGGTATCACCCGCTTACAGTCATTACTGTACCGTGCTGTACTGTACACTGTACAGTCACGTGGCTGAACAATCGGACTTCGAGCTGAAATTTTGCTCTGTGGCCACCCCTAGAGACTGCAGCGCACACTTGAAATTACTCTGATCGAATTAATTATTGGAAGGATTAATTAATTCATGATCTCCTATCGATTTATGTCATGTAAGTTGAAGTAACTGCTAATATTTATAGCAATCTTAAGATTAATCGTAGTGTATAGCGTATACGTACAGTACTACAGTAGGATATAGATCAACTTGGGATTCCTCGGGACAAGCTTGTGGCTTGATCGAAGAAAGAGCAATTGACTGTACTCTAACATTTGCGAGCTCAAGCTGGATGAGGAGCTTGTCAGGTATGATGATTTTATTATACCAGTAATACAATAATTAAGATCTTACTTAATGTTGGCCAGTTTATATGGGCTCACCGGATCAACTTATTTCCAAATTATACTAGGGTTGTGAAGCCTGAGAATGCTTTTCATGTTGTTGGAATAGCCTGGTGACAGCTTAAAATTAGCAAAAAGACTTCAAATATCCTTGATTCTACCAATACCAGTGGATACGTACCTATCCGAAATCGGCTAATTGCCAATTTTACGCGCCCTGCATAGTGTAGCACAAATTATAACCATTCACCATGGCAACATTTCAGTTGGTAATCATTCCTACTTCTCATGTCTCTAGCCATCCTCTTCATGTTGGCTTAACTTCAAAAGGACGTCAAAAAATTACCGGAGGTCAAGATGATGTTAAATTTATTATTGTCAGTTTAAGCCAATCTGATCGATATCATCAACCTCCTTACCTCTACACAACAAGCTACTTAGTTAATTTAAACTATATATCTGACTTGGATATTAAGTTACAAGACTATCAATACCACTCATGCTTGTTTGTGACTGATTTTTTTCTCAATCATTATAATATCAATAGAGAAAAATCTGTAGTACTGCAATCTGTTCAACCTCTACCATTGCAAAAGGTAATCTTAACCACTTCACATGAACACACCTACGATATCATTATTAACAGCGATTTCTTGTCCAGCCTACTCGAAGTTTTAAGATCTTATCGTGTTTTAGTTCGGAAAAATGATGTTCTACTTGCACCAGTAATAGAAAATGATGAATTAAGTATTACTACGGGTGGTCATCATGTTTATCTTAATATTAAATGCTTAGATTGTCAGCCCTTTGTACAAGGCTTATTAACACCTCAAACTGAAATTGTAATTGTCAATGCAACGAATACAGCTTCATCATCGGTGCCTTCACATGGACAAGACTATCTTCAAGTGGATACTTTGAATGATGCTGTCAATCATCAAGATGATGATGGTAATACTCTGATGATTTCTCAATTTCTATCAAATTCTCCTGTCAAACCTATAAAGACTATAAAGCGCATCACCAGTGATGATCCTCTTAAAACAAATCAACTTATAGTGAAATTGCTGCTAAAGCCTATCTCCAAGAAGAGAAGATCCAATTTAAAATTAATTCCTGATGATCGATGTAGGATTGGAATAACACTTGACACATTAACGTCATTAAGTTTATTTGATTGTAGCTGGATCAAAATTAGTGTGTCAAGATCTAGCAAAACTAGTTTTACAAAAGAAGGTAATGATAAAATATGGAGGCTTGTACAGTTAGTTGCCATAGAAAACGATAATCAACATCTTTCCTATACCAATGGAACCGTATATGTATCTCCACTCCTCCTGTTTAATCTGCTACCTAATCCAATGGATATGACAGATATCAATCTATTAACTGCTGAGTTACAGGTAAACTTATCGCAAGTAAAGTACTTAATCGTTGTACAGTTGTAACTATTATACTAGTGACCTTATTAAATATTATTTCTATTCCTAAATATTTATAAAATCCATTAAAATCATTCAGATACCAAATAATGATGAACTTGTAGCAGAAGGTAATCTATAAAGTAAAAGCTGCAAACTATATTATTATATTCGGATTATTGGGTTGTTAACTTTGAACAATTGATATGTTTTATTTACAGATATTAATAAAGATCTTCGATATGTTAGTCAATCGTTATGTTGCCAAGGCTATCCACCCTATGCAAAATCAATTCACTTATCAGTTGTTATGTCCCCAATGGTTACTTCTAGTACAGCGTTTGTTGACATCCTCACACGGTATTTTAATCAATCTAGGTGAGTGAATGGATTTTACCATTCATTATATAATTAATTGTTAATTACTTGTGTGCCACTACTGATTCACTATACTATACGTTTGTATGTCGTAACATCTATTTTAAACTCACTTTAATAGAGTTATTGCTCAAGGGGATCTGATATGCGTCAAAGCAGAAGGAAGAGGGTTAAAAGGTAAATTTCTAAGCTATTAATTATTAAATGGGGTAAAAGCAGTTGAAAAATGATTTATTTGTGTCTTTGTTATATGCTAGACTCAGAATCTACGCAAAATTTAACCGTCATTGAAAAGTAAATACTGCAAAAGTATCACGATGTCCTATGTATAATAAGCAATAATTTTGTCTATGTTGCACCTTGGATTAAAAATGTTTTGTGTATTTTCGCCAGGGACAGTACTATATTTTTTAAAATAAATAAAATTACCGGCTCACGCAATTCAACTTGTTACTACGCTAATACAACATATACATCAGTATATCAGGTAATATAAACAAAATTGATGCAATACGTAAATAAATTGATCTAAATTACAACTTCAGTGACTTTTGCAATTTTTATAATTTGCCAGGAAGCAGCTTGTCATAGCTATGTTCCAGTGATCATGGATTCCTTTTTAGGTATTAACTATTAATTAACTCATTATTAAGATATAAAAAACTTTATTTTTTATTGTATCTTAGCATTTTTTAAAGCTAGCTGAGATTGCTCTACTTGATTTAGGAATTCCAACATGTTCATATATTTCGGGCTTGGAGAGAGTGTATGATCAGTTACAAAGCGTAATCTTGCCCCATTTACTCCCTAAGTAAGAGACTGCAGAATAATGTGCTATGAAATTATATGATGTGAAGTATTGCATTTACTCAGTGGAATGTAACTTTACCTATTTTTATGATAAAGGTTAAGTACGACTTCCGATATGATTTTACCGTCAATTCTTCTAAATGGGCCACGGTCATGTGGTAAAACAGCAGTAGTCTATAATGTTTGCAAAACATTAAATATCCACCTTGTCGATGTGAGTGTCATTAATTAATTAAGATTATAATTATCCCGACCCTTTCATCTTTATTTTGTCAACTAGATGAAATATCTTCATTAATAGCAATTCTCGCTGCATATCGACTTTCCATCATACGTACATATACAGTATACTTCCTTTAATTAGGTTAATGCATACGACTGCTGCGGCGATACTAGCTCATCTACTGAAGCAAGATTGCAATCTGCAATTAGGCAAGGTACTAAGCCTCTAATCCACAGATATGGTTTTGTAATCTTACCAATAATATCATTTTTCATGAGACTATACTAATTACGGTTACGAAAATTCAGGCATTTCTTGTAGACCAGCGGTAGTACTTTTACGTAATATCGAGACTTTGTTTAAAGGGCCTGCCGGTTTTGCAGGTAGCAAATATATAATGTAATGGGATATAAATGCGGAATGTTATTTATTTCTAAGTGATTTTCTCTTAACAATTAACTTGATAGACCCTCGCATCATAGAAACTCTGAAAGAGTATTTATTTGGGATATCTGAACTTGTCGCGTAAGTTACATCTACCACTTAAGACGTGGTCATTGATTTGTATCATCATCTATTTTACGACCTGTCTATAAAATTGAATTACTGTACTCTCTTCAACTGATAGAGATTATCCCCTAGTTTTCATTGCAACATCTTCGAATCCAAAGGATATACCAGCACAAGTTTTCGGATATTTCTTACATGAAGTCAATGTAGAGGTATCATTTGATACTGCTCAAAAAGGGCAAATTACATTGATAAGATTGTGCACTTTGTAATTGCTTTTATATTTACATGTCATGGCTTAAAATAGTCTGCTTAAATGTTATTAGTCACCCACTGAAGAAGAAAGATTAAGAATGCTAATAGAGCTTACATCCGAAATAACCTTAAAAGAAGGTAGGCTACTCTTATTGTTCAATAGCTATTCAACAAGTGAATTAATAATTTTTTATATTGCTTACTCAATCTGCAGATGTTGATCTAACGTATATAGCAAAGAGAACGGCGGTAAGAAAATTATAGGTTCAATTATCGTATATAAGCTGTGCTATTAGGTAAATGTGCAGACATGAATCTTTAGGGAATGGTCCTAGGAAATCTAAACAGACTTTTATGTCATTGCAAACAAATGGCTCATAAGCGGATTTTGAATTATTGGTATAAATGAATATGCTCTAACTATTGTCTATGTTATTAATATTGACTTTTTAACAATGAAGCCATCCTTTGGGCATTATATTATATTAATCAGTATCCGAATTAAAGATTAGTATAGATTAATTATAATCATTTACTAATATATCATATCAATACTACAGTGATGCAGATAATAAACAGAACGGAAACTTAAGAGATCTCCTAAAATTGGATGCGTTATTGAATGTGAGAAAGTCATATAAAGTACAAGTTAATGTTATTACAGCCGGATCACAATTGGAGTTATCAGATTTTGAGCAATCATTGGACTTTATGCAGTCAATACATTCCGATGCTATTGGTGCTCCCAAGGTTTTTGAGTTGTCGCATGATTAGTATACGCTCGATACTGAAGATTGAGTTACCTTCTTTAACATTTTCATACTCTTACAGATTCCAGGTGTTACTTGGGAAGATGTAGGAGGTCTTGCAAACGCAAAAGCAGAAATTCTAGATACCATACAATTGCCCTTGCAACATCCAGAACTTTTAGCTGCTGGTTTAAGACGATCAGGTTAAAGATCTTGCATGTAATTTACATTACGGACATTGTCTTCAGTTACCCTAAACTATCGATATGGCTCTTCTTTAATAAGTTTAAGCTGTAATCAATGAATATGACTTTGCAAACAGGGCAGAACTTTATTACAATTTTTATTATGTTTGCTAGGGTTATTATTTTATGGGCCACCAGGAACTGGAAAAACGTTATTAGCTAAAGCGGTTGCTACTGAATGTTCTTTGAATTTTTTAAGGTTTATACATTTAATAATTTCTCTTCTGTGCTATCGGTAAAGTTTGTATGTAGAGAAGCCCATCATTACTTTTTAATTATATTGTTCGATAGTGTTAAGGGTCCAGAACTTATTAATATGTATGTTGGACAGAGTGAAGAAAATGTTCGCGCAGGTATTTCAAGTTATTGTATCTACAGTATTAGATAATGTAGTGTATATAGCTGAAACTGTCGAAGGGCTCTTGACTAATTTGATGTAATTTTTTAAAGTTTTCGAGAAAGCAAGAAATGCTAGCCCTTGTGTTATCTTCTTTGATGAATTGGATTCGTTAGCTCCAAATCGTGGAAAAAGTGGCGATTCTGGAGGAGTTATGGATAGGTACTATATTACTTTTATTAGTATTTAAAGTATGCGCAGGATAATCTCAAAATAGCTAAAGGCATAATAATTTACACATTGTAGGGTTGTTTCGCAATTACTAGCTGAGCTGGATGGTCTTAATACGGCTGCTGACGTCTTTGCTATTGGTGCTACTAATAGACCTGATCTAATTGATCCTGCATTGCTACGACCTGGAAGGTTCTTGAATAATATAGTTGATAAACGATTGATACTGAATTATAGAAAGTTTATGTGGTTATTCTATCGTTCTAGCTCTAATAGAGTTGAGCAAAACATTTATTTTTATACTTTTACAAACAACTTATTGGTAATTAACTGAAATATCTTCGTACTATATCAAATTTAGATTTGATAAATTAGTTTATCTTGGTGTTAGCGAGGACCACGAATCACAGTTAAAAATCTTACAAGCTTTAACAAGGAAGTAAGTCTACTCCTACTCAATGAAATAGATTTACTCGTGTTCTTCTAGTTAGTTAGTTAGTAGTTAAATTCTAACAACCCAATTTATCATTTCATAGGATAATTCATCATCTTAAAATAATTTGTCCACTAGTTTACGCATATAACAAGCTGTAAAATTTCATACTGTAGATGAAGAGGTAATTGATACCGAAAGATATTTAAAATCGTCTAAGATAATTATAATGTTGCTGACTGTATAGGTTTAACTTACATCAAGAATTTAGCTTACAAGAATTCGTAAAGCAATGTCCTTTTAATTTGACTGGTGCTGATTTTTATGCACTTTGCTCCGACGCCATGTTTAATGCAATTAAAAGGCGTATTAACGATATTGAAATAGGTAAGAAAATCCTATAATATCGTTTTAGAGTGATTGTCTTGTACGGTACATTTGTTACTGTGTTTAGCTATCTTAAATCGATTTCTTTCCCATTTGTTTCCTGTAAGGTTTAAGCGGTGATGATGAAGTCGTAGTTACTGGAATGGATTTCAATAATGCCTTGACTAGTATCACTCCTTCTATATCTGTGGGAGAGTTGAAGCGTTATCGCCAAATTCAAAACAACTACAAATATGCTAAATAAAGTCATGAAGTTATTGTTCATGAATGATAAAGTAGATTTGATAGATAACATCAAGTAATCGTCATAACAATGGACTAATTCCAAATATACTATCGTAATTCTAATCGCTGGCTGAATTCTATCTTTCATGATACATTAAGTTGATAAATTAAATTTTAATTTAAAGGGTATGGTTGCTGATATTGATCAATATTTTTAGCGCCATAGCGCACGGAATGATATACGTAATTAATGATAATAGGACTGTGCAATATGCATAGCACGGCAAAATGATCTATGTGAAATTTAAAGCCGTAGTTATCCATGCCAATCATCAATATGAGAAGTTTCGAGAAAATTTTTCACCATCGCTGTGAGCTTCCGTATTTAATTTATTTAATGATGTAAAATATTACTACATATTTTCCGAACCAAATCGATTAACAAGACTCATAATTACAAAGCATTTTAATTTGTTATAAGCTGTACAAATTATATAGATTTACACAATATGCGTAATTATCTTACTTCTACCACGAGCAATATCCACAAATTACTTACTAATAGAATAAAATGGTACACTAGCGTGAAGTACAAACATAATATTATAAGTTTCAGTTGGTATGATCGATAACATGATGGTATACGTGTATCAAATCAGATTTCAATCATTTCCATTTTGAAAGTTAACAACGTAGTCGTATACTGTACAATTTAGGAGTTATAATGTATCAGGACGGCAGTACTTATTATAATTATCGAAGCTGAGTCCAATAATAATCAAGAGAAAAAAAGTTTCAACTGACTTCGGGCTTTAAGTGAATTTATATAGATTAAGCAACACAAGTGATAATTATCATTCAGAAAGTTTCATTTGTATCCAAAAAATATTAATTACAATAAATATAATTGGTTATTTCAATACTCCTGAAAAATCACCGCATAAATTATCATATATATATTTAGACTTGTTGCATACAGGTTCTGGAATAATAATATAATTATAAGTAATAAATTAATATTGTACGCATGCAGATTAGGATGATAAATACAATAACAATCGTATCATTATGTTACCACGCGATTGTAACGTTAGACTACATACTTTAGTCCACAAATATACAACATTCGGCAAGTTTAGAGCCTCAGTTGTTCTAGCTCGCCTACATCTATCAGTGGTGGTACAGGTAGAGGATTACCTTCTTCATCTGCAGAAAGTAATTTGAAGAAACCATTGGCAACAAATTCTCTCTGACCGGTACTTAGATCTTCAGCTATTGCCGCAATTTCAAGATTAAGCGAATGCTTGGATGTTGACGAGATTTTGGCAACTGCTGTTAGCAAGGAATCAATACGTACTGGATGATGAAAGTTGATAGAATCAATACACAAAGTTTTGCAAGCATTATCACAATGCTTAGACGCTGCCATAACTGCTGTTGTATCCATTAATTCTATGATCGGCGATGCAGTAGCGAATCCGAGAGCACTACAGTCTGAAGTTTGAACCATGCGATCTAACGACATTTGTGATGATTGAACGCAATGCTTTGGGACATTCTTATAATCAATATTTGTATTCCAATCTTCATATAACCTTGCAGGAAACTTATAATCTAAGTAGAGTTGATAATCCATGGATCGCTTTTCTCGTTGTAATTGATATCTTTCATGGCCTTTATCTTCATCTTCTGCGCATTCATAATATAATGGAGGCAATTGCATAACTCGAACTCTCCTATCCTTCATTACTTCAGCAGCCACATACCATATTGAAACGCTATTTGCTAATCGTCGTTCATGGGTCGATAAATCTTCTGCATAAACGTCAACTTGGACTTCAAGAGAATGTTGTGAAACATAATTGACCCTTGCATGTAGATGAACATAATCTTCAGGAAGTAAATGTTGTCGAAAATTCAATTTATCAATACCGGCTAAAATACCAAATTTGGTAGTCAACCCTGGAGAAATATCGCCCATCCAATATCTACGTACAGCAACTTGCCCAACTTCCTCAATCATTTTAAGAACTTCACCGTTACGTACATATCCAGTTATGTCGACATAACGTGGCTCAATAAAGCGTTTTAAAATGGTTGGTATAGCAAAGCGAGTAAAATTTGCTTGACATTGCAATGATGCAGTTGTATTTAGGTAGCGATTATTCTAAAAAAGAAAATTGATATAATGTAATCAAATAGTATTCCCATATAATGATTCGATAAGATTAATTGCTTATTTATTATTATTCCTGGCGTAATAAATAAGTAAAATTATAAATTATTGTCATATAACAATATGGAGTCGATTAGATATTCTATAAAATGCGTAAGTGTCAACTAAAAAAATAATCAATACTGTACGATGGCACTAGCCGATTGTTCAACATGCGACATTTAGCCGTAATGTACATATCCCTTATATTCGTAGTCATTTTGAAAAAACTTTGATGAATATATATTGATCATTTACGAGATGCGTTAAATTCATTACTTAAGGATTATTGAGTGCAGTTGTATTAATTGCATTTACAAAACTCTTTCAAATTTTATGCTGTATAATTCCCCCAGGCAATATTAGTAGCTAAACTTCATTATTGGGGAAGGGGTTATACATCAGACAGGCTACGCCGTATCGAAATGATATGCAGATTAAAAGGTATTCTTCGCGAGCTCTAGTTCCGTACTACTGGGTAGTATAGATCATCGTTGTTAAATGGTAAATATAGCAACCGCTAAATCAACACAGACTGAATTTGTATGACTCATAAAATATTCATTTGGCATATTTTCAGCATTATTCATTCTTTTGGAGTGCTTGTTATTGCCATGTTTTAAGAACAGAAAATAAGTAGTGGATTGGCTTTGAATCAAATACAACATGCTTATGTGCTATTGTACTCTGCCGATTTGCATGTACAGTATAGCCAAACATGTCAATCGTTAGGATTTGATTACTAGCGAAAGAATTGAGTTTATCAAATCCTTAGAATTGTGATGTTGAAGTTATACTATCCTAAAATGAAATTGAAAACTTTATTGCCATTAGTTATTTGCGTAGTATGGCAGATGTTGTTGAAGTGTCCACAATAGCCATAGGGGCAGGGCAGAGGTAAGGTCAAGGACTAAACGACTTACTTAGTATAATAATAGTATTAATACCTAAACATGCCGTTGATGACTATACAAGTAACTAAGCTGAATGGATGTCATGAAGTGGAGTGGCACCGCCAGGAACGTACTGTACTCCCGCCACTGTGGCGTAGTAAACAAATTGTGTAGTGCCCGGTAGTAAAGAAGAGAAAAACGTCATCAAAAATAAACCGGTAGTTAAAAACTTTAAAAATAACTGGAAATCCTCTTCGTTATTACTGCTATGAATTAGCTATATTGCGTAGTCTGGGTCTCTCCATCAATTACAGCAAATTGAGCGAAATGTAGAACGGTACGACTATTGCCAACGGCATAAAATGCTATGAAAATTGTAATAAAACTACAGTACAAAAGTGCTTTTTCTTTCATATTTACTGTATAAATACTATTATAGTATTTCAGAGTGAACGTTATTTTGAAGAACACAACCTTTAACCATATGCTCCATTTCGGGCAATTAAATTAAGTAGAATCTTGATAGAATCACTTTATGGGTTAACTACATACTTTCTGTTCAGTGTAGGATTTAATATACCGTAGTATACAATAAGAAAAAGTCACTGATAAAACAAAATTAAGTAAAAAAAACAGGAATGAAAGAAATATAGCTACTCTAACGGCAAATGATCGTACCGCTAAAGAATAGATTGTTTCATTGTATAGTAATATGCACTGGTAAAATTGGTCGAAAAACAGTAAACACTGTTGAAACGGTGCATTTCTATCAGATATAATGGTACACTTTGAAATAAGACTACTATCAATGTTTTGCTCGATTTATCCCATAGGAAGTTGACTACGTGAAAGACTATCATCGACCGATTACCAACCGTTCGAGAAATAGAGTCTTATATTGCCAGTATCCTATCGTATTCGATTAAGCTTTATAAAAAGAATTACTTGAAAACGATCGATAACTATCGTACAGTTGATGAAGAATACAGATGTTAGTATTCGTCATCTGTTTCCTACGACGATTTGTATAAGAAGTTGAAAATGTAGACAACGTATATTATGGCGTCATTAACAATGAATCAATTTGTTTACGATCTCTTTTAATTCGAAGACGGGGTTAGATCATTTTTTTTCCATATCTTGGCTTACCTTAGAAAGGATTCCAGTTAGTTTACTGGTAGGTTTCGGCAAAGAAATCAAGCCAGCTAGCAATCTACGGCTGACGTTCATGTTCGTTATAACAGTAAATACGGTGACAGACTTTCAATTGATGTTCAAAGCTAAAAAGTGAGAAATAAAAGCAGACTCACAGAGTCACAGTATAAATTGGATTGATGACACCGGCCGGAATCTACTCTAACTAGAAAAACAAAACTTGTAGTAGGGTAATATAATGACCGTACTGTGGATTCTCTAGTTATATTCTAATGGAATTCGATTGTAGCATATTTACGTTGATTATATTATATTTAGTATACAAATATATTTGTAATATGCACTCAACTAGAGTATTGTTCCACTTAATTATTCAACCGTCGAAGAAAAGAATTGATTAATTATTTCCAAGAAAGAGAAGAAACGCAACGCCAATAGACTGCGCCTGTACCTTTTCTGAAATCAGTAAGTGATCAACGCAATCATAATCTGAGTCATCATACTAGGCCAAGGGATTTTTTTAGCTTTTTCTTGTACAAGTCCTTGACTAGACCAATTCAAAGATCAGCCAAATAAAAGATTTGATAAATAAGGTGCAAACCCTATGACTTCCCATGCTACCACTAAACAATATAAAAACTAAGTCAATAATTTCTATTGATTGATCGTACAATCAAGCCTTGTTGAACTTAAAATCGTTTTCTGTATTGATGATCAAAGGTGCCATTGAAATTCAGCAACGCTGATCGTGTTTTGTTTTGCTTACCGACTAGTTTTAGGCATTTCGTTTATAATCCTACTTTTATTGTTGCAACCCAACTGCTGACAACATTCAGCCAGTAGGATGGATTATGTTTTATGTAAAATTCTTTTATTAATTCTAATTTAATGTAACGTCTACAAGATTAACGAACTTCAGTAGCTGTTGACGTTTGTGTGCTAATTACTGTAGAAAGTTATACTGTAGTTACTAGTAAGATGGTACAAGATGTTTTTGTCTGTTGTATATAAGGAAGGTCTTTCTATAATTGTTAATCCTCATCCTCTGCTAATATTGGCCTCCTAATAAATTGCAATAAAAACTACTACTATCCACTGATATTTTAACTGGATTTGAATTTTACTATTTTATTTATTAATTCTAATTGAATTCTACTTGATGATAATTTACGATAGAGTCGTGACCTTCCCAGTCCAATTTTAAACATTTATGGTCTTTATTAACAGGCAACAGATAGTCGTTAAATAACAATTACTGCTGTTAATAATTTCACCCAAGAGTATTCATGAAAGGTAAATTTACCTTTGTATCCAGATACTAACAAGATAACAATTATTTAAGATAGAATTTAGAATTTTTGCCTTCCTTGAAATGATGCTATGTGATAGGCAATATATGAAAATATAATTTAATCTGTAATATCGAGCCCAAAATAGTTCATTTGATATATCCAAGCTGCAATAATGAAATTGCTGGCTCACAGCGAAAGTAAGAGTTATAGGTAATATACTTATGGTATTATTGTATAATACCAAGTACAATATTGACTAACTTTCTTGTCTCTGCCTACGTATTAATTACAATGTTCATATTACTATATTACTTTAATTGCTATCTAGTTATTCTTTATCGAGACTTACCGTACTTTGACGATACATACCGGTATAAATAGTATTATAATGTTTTCTTAACAGTAATTCTGAAAACATAATATGATCGACACTACTTACACGGCACAATGATGCTACGACAAGCATGCATAAAAAATAATAAAATTAATTTAACTTCCCGTAATTTATTTATTAACTCTAAAAAATAGCTATCATCCAGTAATCACATAAAAAGAAAAGTAAATGTGTAGAAATAGATATGCATGCAAGATGAATCTCTATAGCTGCCCATATGCTGTTGTAAATGAAGTTTAGACTACTGTGACTAATTTTATGTCAATTATAACATCACATAGCCAGCGGAGTTATTAGAAATTCCTAATTTATGACAAAGGTAAAGCCAATATTTATTTATTAAACATTTCCTGTAATTTTTTTGATGTATTACCGGTTCCAGTGGGTTGCTATTAATAATTTTTACCTATTTACGCTATAGTAGCAGAAGAGAATGGTTGGTTACCTGGACCTGCGTACAAAGCAACAAGTCTGTAGTCACTTGATACTATACTGTAAATAAACTCTGTAAATCATTATACTCTGTACCCGTATACAGTACACAGTATCTAATTGTACAGTACTGCAAATATGCCTTTCAATTACAGGAAAAAATCTTTTGCGCATAGGATTACAAGATTAGATTTTGTTTAGCCACTGTGCGTCACTATTTTGCATTACATATCAAGAATAAGAGTAATATCATTTTATTTTGTCCATCTATCCCTAAACTAGCAATTCTACTATTAAAGTCGCTGTTAGAATACTTCCGACAACTATGGGTGAATACCTCATATTTGATAATACAACGAGAGTTGGTTAAAGAGGTTTTCTGTGATGTGAGCAATCATGATGGGACATTATGTGTTTCTTTTTAGCATGTTATCTTACGATAGTCTTGGTAAAATATATGCTGCATCATGAACATATTGAAATTTAAAAATCGCCGCATTATAGCTTATGCGTGAAATTTTTTTAGCTGTCTTGGATGCTATGATACGAATACTGTGAGAATATAGAGCATGTACTTGCAGTATACGGCTGATGTGGAAATTATGCCCTTGACGAAATATACCGTGCTCTATAGCATAGAAAATATTGAAAGTCAGTCATGGTAGATAGTTACAGAAGTTTATGTGTACGCAATACGTATTTATATCTGTAAGCCTTTGACATTATACAGTAAAGAAATCGAAAGTTGCATGTAACGCGCAAGATATTTTATTAATCTTGACATAAGTATTAAGGTTAAGGTCATGCAGAGATATTAAGTGTCGATCGTGTTATATGCAGCAACTTATAAGCTGGCAATTTTATCGATTGCAGCTTTAGACTGCTTAAGTGCTGGTATAATTTCATCTGTTTAGCATAAAAGTCGTTAGCAAAATATATAACTTGATATTACTAATAATCAATTGATCACAATGCAACATGTACAATTATACATAGTATATCTGACTGTAATTGTACTCACATGCAATTTTACTATCTTTATTACTGTTTTGATGGAATTTAGTAGAATTATCGAATGTCGATTACGGCAAGGATAACTAAACTAAGTTTTCTATAGAAAAAAAAAATCGAGCTTACTAGTTCCTGATTAGAATATACGCTAGCTTGCATATTTGCCTATTTATGCATACTGAGTGTAATTAATCTTTTAATACTTATTGTAAACAGCATGGCATAGAAAATATCAAGTATTAATTACAATGTATAACTGTTTGTACGCATGAAAAATTACAATTTGATGAGATATGATCTATACAGCAGTTTTATAAAAATGAAAAAATTGATTAAAAATGCAAATTTAGGATACAGCTGACAGTACATTTTTATTCATAATAGGATATTTCAATTGGAAACAAACTAACTAATTTCTAGTTTACATTTGGTATAACTGAATTTATTTTAAATCAAGGCATTATTAATTATTTTATTATACTGTATGTCCACATGTTTAAGCTGTTGCTGTAGTGTTTGTAACGTGCTCGCAGTTTCATATCGAATTAGTCAGCAATGCGATCCAAATAAATTATTCGCGTTCTGGTACTTGTGATAGAATTAAAGACGCGATTTGTATACAATTTTCGGTTTGGTACGCGTATATCGATTGATTATATAATTAGTTAATTGCATAACGACAGTATGGTCATGGTTGCTAAATTCAATGAACTACAAATTCAATTTTATTTTATTTTATGCTATCTTGTTTTGCTTATATACTAATTACCATTGTTCATGCCTGGATAAATGTTGCAGATGATCGCAGTTTGTAGTATGAATTAGTAGTGTTGGTAGTTGTATCATAACCAGTTCTAGATAAACGCTGACGACTATAGCTTGGCCAAATGATGCTAGAGGTTCACTGGTGCTAACTTGGAACTAGCTATCCAACTTGTACAGCTACATTATTTCTAGTTGGTGATGATGGTGTACTGTAAACGTTTATTACAAAGAGGATAAGTTAAATGAATGCAACAAGAAATTGTCAATACTCGTAGGTGTAATGATCGCCTAGGTAGAATAACGTCATCAATGTTGCTCAAACTGAATAATCTTCATCTAGTATGCTAAAAAAAATGAGCGCCACAGTTATATAAATGTAGAGGTAGAATATCCCTTGTAGAATAAACTTAAAGTAATTTTTAAATTTGGATGTAATTGTTGTACCTAGATGACTAGTTCTACTGGCTTCCGATTTACGGTTAAAATTGACATAGTCTTGCTAAGAAAGACACTTGAAATGGATCCGTTTAGAATGGCTCGAGGATTTATGATGCCTATTTGGCAAGAAATAGCCGATCATGTTAGCAATAGCTGCAAGATTGCTGTTGATCATCACAAGTGTCGAATTAGGATAGCAAACTTAGTAACTTATGGAAAGCGGAAAACGGATTCTAAATATCGTAGATTATCTGGGTCAACAACAGATCATCGTGAAAGAGACATGTTAGTTCAAAAATTATTAGAACTAAAGAGGTTAAGCGAAAAGAACAAATTACCTTATAGCCACTCAAAGCAGCTTCGATCTAGAGATTCGTTAAATACCTCCACTACTGACATTACCAATATCCCAAATGATGGCAATGCTCCTGAATCAAGTGAATCGGAAATTTCAGTCGATGGCGACACAGAATCTCGATTAAATGATAACAACCGTTTGGAATTATCGACAGGCCCTGACCTAAAAAATTTACAAAGTCAGCTTACCGACATTGTCACGGAGCTTAAGTTAGCCAGAAAAGAAATAAGTTTAAAACAAGACTTTCTGATAAAACTAAAAGAACGGGAAATTGAAGTACAACAGATTAAATTGGAAATGAAGCAAGAACTTCTTAGTGCTAATAATAGACATGAACCATTAAATGTTTTGACTGACTTAATTAAATTATTGAGAGAAGAAGTATCTATCATGAGAGAAGATAGGGTCAAGCTGATGTCTATGGTCATTAAAGGTTTCAATAAATAAACAAATCCTGCATTCATGTTACTAAGTGTTAATCTTGAAATACTATAAGATTACGCTGGCTTGGGTTTGTTCAATTTACAGTAGTTTAGCCCGTAATAGCGTTGCTTGTCTGACGTATGAAGATATCAATGTGTAACGTGATGAATTCTAGTCATGTGCTTAGTTTAGTTAAAATTTGTTATATTGTCGACATACAAGGGCTTACGTTATACTTATTTGCTGATTTATATTACGGTTGTGTATTCAATTGATACATAAAAATATAATGAAAATTGCAATGTTTTATTCCCTGTCTCTTCAATGTATTATCGGAAGATAGCTGAGAAATAAATGGATATTGCTTTCTATAAGTTGTTTAGTATTTGTCCTTTCTCAGTAATCATTCAAATACATCACTATTTTATGACATGCTCTGACAACAGTTAAAAAGAATTTACTGATCCTATGAAAAACGTCAAGCGAAATCACTCACTATCACCGATGTGTAGAATTAATTTCATTACGAATCACAAGCAGCATAAAACAGTTTATTGATATTATATATTAGATAGGCTCAACTTCATTTCGGCTTTCCAGGCTTTATTATGGTTAAGATAGACTCAATCAGGATCTAATTGATACTGTGTAGAAAAGTTTATGCTGGACTGAAACATTACTTTAATATGCTTGCTGGTATTCTCATACATAGGGATAATCTAGTCCAACGGATAAGTCAAGTTTTTAATGGTGTATCTAGAATAAATGGAAGTATGCAATACTCTAAAGTGTACGCTATCGGCTTTAGCAAGAAAACTAGGCCAATTACGAAATTTTGTACCTATCGTCATAGGATGGTTCTGGATAGGCTGTACTTGGTAACATTCTGAATTTCAGACTAGACAGGTATATATACATATAGTGCAATAGATTGAAATAACAAGTGTAAATTTTAACTGAAAATAGCACTTCTATAGATCTACATCGCATGAACAGTATAGGAATACAGCTCGTATTGTTGCGCAGTAATGTTGGAGCACCTGGTACCTGGTGTGCTGACAATACATTTCGCATCTGTATTTACTTCTAATTTAATACAATTTATTTACAACAAATATTAATGCAATGATGGATAAGCTATAATAACATCTACCTTTATTTATTATTTATTCATCTTTAGCTTGCTTAGTGACGTCAAGCGACTACAAATGAAATAAGGATTTCTGCTGCTTTCAATTGAAATCTCTAGTACATTGTAGCGATGTAGGAAACAGGTTGCATCATCATTAATATAACTTATCTAGTATTTACTGTAATTTTCTATGTAGATGTGGTACAAAAGATATAAAGTGTCAAATAGGTATATCAACTACAATTATATCCAGAATCCGAATGTTAATTTTATGAAATATGATATTCTGGTATAAATTGCATGTAATACTTAGCATACATCGTTAGACATATACAAAACTGTATTTGAAGGCAATACGTAGGTTAGATGTAGTACCGTATATCGCAGACTTACAGCTAAAGATTAATTATAGCAGTTGTACTTTAGATTGCACACCGGTCTACAGCATAACTATCACGGAAAGTCCTATAAAGCGATACAATCATTCATATAATTAATTATCAAGTTATTACATAATAGCAGAAAACAGCATCAGTCTGGCAACGTTAAGGTCTATTCTTTTGCTGATAACTCGAGTCGATTGGTATTCTTTCAAATTATCTGTGTTATGTGTCCCTAAAATGGTAATGATGAATGAGTTAACTGTACCTAGTAAACAGTTAACTTTATAAATTTCAGTTTTTGCTTGTAATTCGGCGATGATTTACTTGTATACCAGGGGCAAACGCTTATAGTATCTAGATCAGAATAGTTTAGAACTAGTACTTAAAATGACTAGTACAGTAATACTTTATCGTGTCTGTTTCCATCTTTTTGATTTAAGGGCAGAAACTAGCATCAGTTGCTTTTGCGATTGATTCATTTACTTCCGATACCTTGTTACCTTACGAACGATGGCCATACTGCTCCTGCTCATGAAATCAATCTCATATGAATGCCATAATGCTGTAGTAATGTAATTAATTGCGCTGTAATTGATTATCTTAATTGTTATCTTGTTATGGTTTACTTTTTTTGTATATTGAATCAATTGTTTCAGTTTAAAAACAACATCTGGTCGATATTTGTTAAATTGAGCCTAGTCTGTGCCATTAATCTATAGATGGATGTTGGATTGTATCATATTCTCACCTCGTGAAGAATCACTTCAGTTTGATATTAAAGCGCTTGCTTTTCATATCGATATTATTGGTACTTTTTTGTTGCTAACCTAGTCTAATTTAGGTTGTGCCCTCTAACTTTTATTGCTTTTTTTATAAACATAAAGAGAAAGCATAACTTTAAAATTTTCTATTGTTCAAGATATAATTAATTTTCAAAATTTTCAAGGAGGAGAATAGTCGTAAATCTAAAGTAAGTCTTTCTGTTATTTGCTGTCTTATCTAAACTGTCTTCAAGGAGTCGTTCCTCATGCTATACTGAAATACAACAAGATTAACCTACACTATTGCTATTGCAAAAAATATCATGACACTAGATTAGCATCAAATTATCATCTGTAACTATGACTTGAAAATCTTAATTACCCTAAATGCGAATTATCGCCATCTCAAATGATCATACAAATTAAGTAAAGTACTGTGACTTGCAGCACCTTAACACTTTGCATAGAATCAAATTTTCTCACTCGTGCGATTGGCTTATCGACTAGTGTTTGTGTCATTTAAAATTTTATCGCTTTACACATTACAGTATTATCGTATCTGAATAGAGATTTTACTCAATTTAGTTGCTTCATAGCTCATACTATAAGCGATAGCTTGCAATTAATTATTTATCATCATATATCACGAATCCTTGCGTAGTTGTTGTGATATTGTATCATGCTACGCAAGTCTATGACGCAGATCAATATGATTGAGATAAAAATTGATAATTTGATTATTATTTGTCTGATATTTATGGATGTAGTGATATTCTGTTCATTCAACTACATCGGTAGCTATCATTTTGATTTCCTTTGTTAAATATCAATAGCTTAGTATTTAATTTTTGATCCAATTATGATTCCATAGTCCGATAGTACTAATGTAAGCCTAGAAAACTCAATTTCTAAAACAATTTTAATTAATTTAACTTACGATTAATTAGATCTACTTATGGTTCTATGGTATGCTAATATATAGAGGATACTTCTAAATCTATTTGTACCACTTCTATCAGAATTCATAATTTAGAAATTTAAGTTTAATACAGTTACGTGTCTGACGTAATCATAACTTGAAAAAGTATTAACATTTTCGTTTTACTCTGATAGCTTCAGTAATATTGTCACCGATAATAATAAAGAACGTAGAATACTTTGCCCAATCCGCTAATGCTCTTTATCTGATGTAAATCTACTAAAATTACGTTGAATTATTATTCTTATTGTATTATCTGTCGCAGTTTATAGGTATTTGGCATTATATTCTTGAAATAGTACTCGAAGAGTATTGTTAGATCTTTACTGGCCAACTTAATGGCATGATCAATCATTCACTTGAAAGATATTACATATTGTAACTGTAAGGCTACATTGAGGTAGGTAAAAATATGAAGCTGTAGTACAGTTTTCGTTGCATAGTTCTTCCTGAAAATTATATTTGATTGTCTGTTAATCCATCCGACATCGCCTTTTTTCTAGCGATAAGCTTTGCATAATATATAACGACGATTTTGACTTAGCAGGCCTTACCTATTTCGAGCTTGCGATTTTGCTTCAACAATCCCATAGATGCTCTTGTGTAAAAAAGATTTAGAAACGATTACTGATGTAATCGCATGAGCTAAAATACTGTCAGACGTACTAGCTCAGTATTGTTAATTTTGAGGAGCACTCTTTAAATTTATTTTACAGTACAATGGTATTCATTTGGAGTATCAGTTGATGGCAATTTGTGCATAGGAGAAGTAATGTTTGTGTTAACTGTAAATACCAAATTTCTCTTTGTTCCGTTCAGTATTAACAGTACACCCTAACAACTTTTGTTGTCAAAAATTTATTAGCTCCAGCTTCCAGATCCTAACGCTACATAGCATTATGGATGATAATGGCATAGTTATATTTTCATAATTAGTTTTATGGAAAAGTTACGCCTTTTTTCCTTAAATTATTCTATATTACAAACATTTACAGTTAGCTATATTCAAGAATTAACCTTTGGCTAGTCTAAATATTTAGTAAGGTAATTTTTAGTCTTGTTAACGATATTGACTAAATGCATGACAAATGTCGATAGTATCCTACGATCTATCTAGTTCACAAGTAGAATCAAATCGCTAATGCACATTCAATATCATTGCCATTAACACAGAAAGTATTAAGTATGGCCGCCAATGGTACTTGTGAAACAAATCATACCTTTGTTAAATCAGGTGATAAAATTGGTAAACAGACCATTACTCAATGCACTACCGAAACGAAAGTGTTAGGTAAGGCACAGTGGTCTTTCTTCGAAGGATGTAATAAATGATTTATTGATAATACTCTTTCAAATCCTTCATATTACCTTCTTTAAATAAATTAATACAGATGGTGAACAGGAAGAGTTCCCTGTTCATGTATCGGAGTTGGTTAAGGGAGGTACAAAAAAAGGCAATCGTGCAACTAAAATTACTCGTCAGCAATCGTTAACCGCTCGCCCGAGCATAAATGCGAGACGAGGAAAACTCAATCTTTCTCTAAGTGTTGATCAAGGTAATAATACGTTGAAAGGTTACATGGGAATAAATTTCATGGATAAAAAACATTATATATGAGGTAGTCCGTATTCGGGTTAGTTTCAATTTTGTAATTCGACTTGAATTACTCCTCTAATAGCTGATAGCATTTATTCGGCGAATGCACCTTCTCTATCACCACGCCGCAAGTGGAAAGAGAAAGAACCCTTTACATTTGATGAAGCTGATCTGTCGTATTTGGAGCGAAAGGAAAATCCCTTACGTCTGCGTAACAGGAGTGGGAGCTCTTCGCAAGCTTTAACTAGTAGTAGCACATCGCCTGGTAGTATTTCGGCAAAAGATCTAGGCAAAAAATCACGTTGTGGGAGCGTAGATTCGAATTATAAAGTGAATTTACGAAATACAAAACGATCTCAGGTATACAAATTAAGGGTGATGATTATGACACGTTAAAATATTAAGGAAGTGAGAACGGTTTATTTGCTTATAAACTAATATGAAACGTAGGGGATAACTTCTCGGGACTCAAAACCTATGCTCACAAAGTCTCCACTAACTTCTTCACCTTCAGATAGTAAAGGTACAATTTGAGTATGGCTATTGAAGAACATCACTGACATTTTTCTTCAATACTTTATAACGCTGCTCTATTTTATCTAATGTACTAGATAAATATTGTAATCTTCTAAGCATTATGAATTATGATACCTTAGTTATACATAAATCAATCTTTACTTGTATATGTGTATTTAGTTACTTTAAGGAAAAGCTTGAAGAGTAAGAAACATTTGCAGGAAAGAACTCCGTCTGCAGAAGATTTGGCAGATATCAAGTCTAATGCTGCCTCAGTTAAACGCTACAGTGTTGAGGCCACAACATTGTCGGTACCTACTATCAATGGTCCTCAACCATCACCGGGGGTGATTCAAAAACAAAAAATACAATCCAAGATATTGAAAAGTGCAACTTTTGTAGTGAATTCACCATCGATGACAAATAATGTTCAAGAAAAGAAAGATACAAGTCCCTTCTTTAAATTTCCTGACGTAAACACGAGTAGAAATGAGACGAATATAAATCAGGTAAAGTCTTCGTCGTCGATCGACACTGACGAAGATGGCTCAGATGATGACACAGATATATTTAGCTTTGGGGCGGAAGCCCAGAATAGTAATGTGGCGCATCAAGATCACGGAGGTAAAGAAACTCTATAACTGAAATTTACCTCTAATCACATCAATGTAAATTAGTGCTATGAAATTGCTATTTAAAAAATACGTACTTAAATCAGATTCCTCGATAATATTAGAATCTGGCCGTATAAGATAACTACTGTGCAGTGCTTATTTTCAAATTTGATAAAAAGTTAATAGAGAGTTGCTGTTTGTAATCTATTTTAATTTTTTTTACAGGTAAAGCGTCAACTTCTCCTAATAAAAAAAGAATAAACGGTGAAGAAGGTATCGGTAATCATAAGAATAGTTCTGATCCCCACATTGCAACAAATGGAAAAATTAGTAATCATTCGAAAGAAAAGCCCTCTAAGAACGAAAATCTGCTACGCAAACGATGCAATTCTGAAAAGTTAATTAGCAAAAAGGACCGTACTAGTACAGCGGTATCGCCAGGTAACTTGTTGCAATTGATTAATCTCTTGACCTTAATTATATAATTATTTATAGTTATCAATATTTAAGTTACTGTATTTATCGAAATATATACTAAAGAAGGTTATGATATAATATATGCTGTATCATGTAAATTCAGATAAATGATTGCTATTGGGGAGCTGTAATTTGTGCACCTACTCTCTGTACGGTATTACAGTAAATTTTTGTTTTTTAAGGTAATCTTAATAGTGATTCCGACGATCAGAGAGATAAAATGCAAGCCCAAATTGGTAGAAAGCAATGGAATAAAACTGCCGCGGTAGCTATTGAGTAATTTTAAAGATATTTATTATATGATCTTTCTTTTAACATCGATAAATTTTTGTTTTGGTTATTAAACTTCTTACTAGATTAAGTGATCTAAGTGATCATACAATTTTATAAAGTCAATAGTAAACGATTAACTGTCGTTTGGTTAAGTATTAATTCAGTTACTTATAAGGATAATTAATTGGGTCAGCTTTTAGATAGCTTAGCTGTATCTTCTGTGCGTCATTTATCCGAAATCATTTCTTCATCAACTGGTGTAGCAGCTGACAATATAGAGTTGAGTTTTAAATTCTAATTTCAATTTATGGGCTATATACTTCTTAGAATAGATTACGTATAGTTCGGCATGGAAAACTTACTTTCGAATTTTTGGCAGAATTTTATACAAAAAGATACGTGAAAAAGCATCTGATTGCGGCCTTAATGGCGATTCCAATTTTCCTGAGAGCCATAATAAGTTCGATCCAAACGCAGGCTTACCTGACTGGAATACTTCAAATAAGGTTTCCTTTACTAAGCAGTTCTTGCTATTTTCGAATCTTTTAGGTTTAAACTGTATAGTCTTACCTACTATATCATATAATTTATACTTGGATCATTTGAATCTGTTAGGATTTATGTGGAATAATTGATAACTTAAAGGATGCATATAAATATATAAATAGTAAGTCGATTCTTTGTCCTTGTATAATAGACAGATAAAAGAATGTTCCACTATTTAATCTAATGACTTACCATATCGAAATTAATCTAGTAAAATATATGCAATTACGTCTAAGTTGTATAATCTAAAAGATATTGTTTTCATGCAGTGATAAATCACCTTGTGAGTCTGTTGGATGTCTTGATGGTAGATAAATCCTCTCCGGTAAGTCTTTGTAGAAGTGAAACCATTATAATTTTACCGATAGCAAAGCTAATCATGGTCATCAAGGTGTAAAGTATATTTTAATATTAAAAATTAGCGTATTAATCATAATTATAATTGTTGATCAAATAAAAATAGGATAAGATTTTAGAAAGTGAAAGGCAAAAAGAAGAGAATTGACAATATAAATGTTGTAGCTTATCATGAAATAGCTCAAGAGAGCTTAATCTTTGACGTGTATGTTACACGAATTTCCTAAGTTGAACCAGTGGTTCTCTAGCGTATCGCATTATTAATCGCTACAGGATTACCTTGTAACGAGTTTCTATCGCGAACGTTTGAAAAGAATTATCCGATCGTCTATGTTAAAAACTGATGTTACGAGATGATTACTATGGTTGTTATCCTGGGAAGCTGCATTAATCTTGGGTGATTGTATGGATATTATTCTCTAGCTCTGCTCAACTCATACAATATTTGTCAGGATACTGTACTGTAATTAAGCTGTTTATTTATGTTATATGTAGTCTGGAGATCCGTTTAGAATTATCAATGCTGTTCTTTTGAAAGATGTTTTAAATGTTACATTAATTTACGGATGGAATACCTTTGGCCCGCTAACCATCACGACGTAATAACACTGTAATTTAGCTACTAACCAAATATTTTTAGGCGCAGTTTTGTATTAAAGCCTTTTATATACTGTATATGAGGTGAGCTTTAATCATCTGTATACTTGGCAATTTGATCCTTGATCTATAAAAGATGCACAATAACACTGACTTACTTACGACATATGAGCTGCGTCAAATACCCAATCGCTTTATAATATGCAGTTATTAAACTTGGGTTTTCTTTGCATAGCAGTTTACATTCGATATTGCATACGAGTTTGTTGGATATAATTACCCAAAGAGATCAGCTAGCCTAACATCATTTGTACTGTACAAATATGACTACTAGATACTTTGCATTGCTTGCTTTAAATTTTAATTTAAAAATTCGAATCATTCTTTTCTGGTCGGAAAGTTTAGGAAAGTCGTTTGATATGTTGCAGTAACAGTATAATTTAATCATTTGATACGATTGGCATGCTGTACAAATGTACGTAGGCCTATTTTATATCTGCAATTAATATTGTCATAATCTAATGATTGTACTGTTCTCATTTCCATTCCTTTTTTTGAAATACCAAGTATGCGATTTGACTGATTGGATGTTATCAGCTTGCTGTGTATCATTTAATTTTCAAGATTTAGCGCGATACTAAATAATTGAATAAAAGATGACGCTAATCAGATTAGACTAGTTTGTAAGTATAACATGGTCATTATGATTGAAAATATGGATGATGCAAAGGCCTTTAATTTGCCAAATGCAGGACACCGGTAAGTAGTACAGTAAGTACTACAGAAGAATGAGTAGCGATTTGTACCGGATTATACTGATTGTTCAACCTGATGTACAGCACTGTACCATTGTTGAAATACTGTTTGAACAGATTCAGGATTACGTACACTTACTATATATTATATTATATTAAAAATAAAGTAGATTGACAGTAGAGATTCTAAGTTCTAGCCGTTGCCCCATTTCCAATAAAAACCCTAAAAAATGATGCCTCTACATAGATAAAACACTACCTCCGGAAATGAATTTTATCTTTTAGTGCAAAATCAAAATGTTGCCGTCCACAGTACAGTACAGTACAGTACAGTACTACAGTACAGTCCATACTGTATCAGGAATTTCTACTGTAACAAGCGTCATCCTTGCTTGTATCACGCTTATCGACGACGACCTTTGAACTTTGAAAACTGTTTACACTATCATGGATATCAAGGACAACTAAAAGAGAAAGAAAGAGACGGGAAAGGGGATCATATCGGGATAGACGGCGCAAATACGTAAGTTTCTATAGAATTTCACTTTTCTGCTTCATTAGTTTGGACGATGCGGATTGTCAATGGGGCGCATGTCTTAATTAATGATACACTAGATACTGTCTGCGATTGACATCCAAATGAGCTGCTATTAGCCTGCACTTTAAGTTGGTTTTAAGCAGTATTGTACGAATACCGTTTCATCGATCAAATAAGAAGCATGCACACTATTTGACAGTGAAGCTGTTTCCTGTCCCATCTCTTCCTTTTTAGTAGTTCCTGCCAGTATTTGGGCTAACAAAAGTTCTAGGGGAATCTTGTGTATTGTCAGTATATAGTACATCTCTTCCTTTTTAGTAGTTCCTGTCAGTATTTAGGTTAACAAAAGTTCTAGGGGAATCTTGTGTATTGTCAGTTTATAGTACTGTCGTCAGTACCAGAGCTCAGTTCACAGCTTACTACAGTAATCAGCAACACAGGCTCACAGCATTAACGCATTGATGATCACGGCGCCATGACTCCATTTTGCATGCATTACGAATATTGGACTATTTTACATCTAGTCAAATGCTACGATGGACTGTCCTATTAGTAAAATTACAAAAATGATTTCAGTTTTGTTGGTCAGGATTAGGTCTGGACCTGTCCCGTTATTTATTCTTACTGTACTTATATAAATAATTATTATAATTATAATTATAATTATAATTAATAATGAATCCTTTATACCGTACTGTACACTGTACAGTACAGTACAGTACTGTAAGTCATTTTCTTTTTTTTACAGGTTACAGTACCGTATGCTGTCATGCATTTGCACAGTCTACTGAACATGACGCAACTCGCGGTACACTAGTACTGTACTCTCTCCAAAAATGTTCCACTGTTGGTACAGTACTGTACTGTACTACAGTGTAGTGCTGGTGCTGTACTATATAAAGAGTCCCCCCTTTTCTGTTTGGTAGTCCCTGACTACAGTACAGTAGCTATACTTGGAAAGGTAATACAGTACATGTACTGTAGTGTGTGCAAAATGACCTGTCACCTGTACACTGTACAGTACTGTACAGTACACCGTGGCCAAGAAAGCACTAACGAGTTGTACTGTACAGTACAGTGTCCAGTCAACGATAGATAAGCCACCTATTCTTCTGTCCCTTTACCCTATTATGCAATCCACTCTAGTAGAGAAACCGACTGTGTTCATAAAAAGCACCATTGAGCAGTAAACTGCAGATAGCCAGCTATTCTGGGACTTTACCCCATCCTGCAATCCACTTTAGTAGAGAAACCGACTGTGCTTATAGCCTAGCTTGGAAAACTAGATACTGTACAAGACGTACTGGACTACTGTACGTACTGTACTATACGACACTTCATTTACACAGGCTACAGTACAATCCTCAACATAGTACTGTAGCATGCAGTCATTAAGAAATTTTTTTTTAATTGATTGATTTAATTTCTTTAGCGCACTGTTGGGAAAAAAGTTCTTGGGAAAGGAGCAATTTGTTCCTTCTTTGAAGAAATGGTGGCGGCCGGAATATTATGAGTGCTTTTAGTCTTTTCTTGTAGCTGAAATTCACCTTAGCTCGTTTGTGTAGTTTTCATTAGCTCATCGATACTGTGATAGCCTTTTTTATTTGTTTGCCAAGTCTGCCTGTGCTTACCCCAACTGCAGCTTTGATTACCCAACGAGAAGCACGACTGTACTGTGTACTGTACGTAGAAGCAGCTACAGCAGTGAAATCTTTCAAACCATTTGTCTTGACGATAGATACTTACTTTAAATTGTTCATTCCTTTCTCAAGACTGTAGTTTGATTGCCTTCTTCATTCATTACTACTTAGTCATACATTTGCTTGAAGTAGTCGATTACTTTACGCTAGTTTTACTTTTGGTGCCGATATTTTTTCGCTACTTTAAAAGTTTCAAAGAAATTAAAATTTGGACGTCATTACAAGCAGCCAAAGCAAAGTCAAGATGCCTAAAAATTGGAGAGGAAATTTCAAGAGCAAAGTTTTCATGGTTATTACTTTATTCATGCTAGGTGTTTCAGGTAAGGAAAAGATGAGCTGATTTTTTTTATGGACATATTCTACCCGATAATTTGAGTTCTTTTACTTTGTTCTGTGCTTTATTCTCGTAACTACTCCGATGTAGACTTCCTGTTTTTAACCGGAAATTTTTCTCTTTTCATGACAATCATCTCAATACTAGCAACTTAGTCTGTTTGAATGTCTTTAGCGGATCAATTCGATTAGACTTTAGCTTTATTATTACTTGGGTAACGAACATGCATACATATACTAATTTGCCCAAGCCACCCTATAGCCTAATACACCCAAACAGCCCGTTACTATCAGTGACACCGTGTTGAACAAACTTTATATTAATTGTAGATGATTGTGCCCTGCAGTAGGTACAGTGTTGTCAGAAAAGAGATAGTCGTGCAAAGCTCTTTCAGTGCAAGAAATGCGTGCACTTTGATTTTCCCAGGTTAGCTGGGATCCTTCAAAATTGAAAAATTAAATGTTGCCATTTCTTCATCAAGGGGTTTCAATAGGAAATTTCGTTGACGTCGCTATATGAAATTCATTTCTTTTAATACTGTAGTGATTGGAAATGGACTAAAAAGTAAAATAAAATGGTAATAGATACACTTGCATTATGTGCTGCACAATGACCTCGGCTACAGCCGATATTGCCGTCGATGGTATCTTAACCGATTAACCGTTCTTGTAGGCGATGGATATAATTATTATTTATACAGTATGATTGACGCCTCACGGCCTCTATCGGATTACGACAAAATCTACAAAAATTATCATCATATCGATAAATGATGATTTTTAGATTTGATTTGTCTTTATTACAAGTTACAATCGTGTCTGGATGGACGAATCTGGTTATTCTAACATCAAATGATTGCTGGTCGAACCCTAGATAAATAGTATGAAAACTTCGTACGAGCATATTAAAACCTAATCTTGCCTTCGAAAATAACCTAGCAAGTGATAAAATCTTGCCAATTCTAAACACTGATCCTGCAGAGGCTCGACTGATTTATTTCTTGCCACTCACTAGTAGTAAATTGCTCGATCTAATGGCTTTACTGTAGCAATTAGCTACCCAATACTGTAGTCAATGAATTTCTAGATGTAGAGGGAAATATATATATACAGTAATTACTGTATACTATAGACATTATCATTTGATGACTCAGTTACGAGTGATGATTCATCCGATGATCATGATGATAAACTTATACATCACTTTGTTCTATTTTTCCGCAAGCATCATTCCCTGCGTTGAGTACGATCCTAACAATACCGTCGCTCCTAGTACAGTATTACCAAGTATTGCTGTAGGAAGATCATGGTACCCAACGAATGAAAATGTTACCATTAAAGTTATTATCTCAATCCGTTTGCAACGTTCTCACAATGTAAACGATATTACTGGGTAGTAATACTGAAACAATTCGCACAAGGGTCCTAATCGCTGGAAGCTTTTACTTAGTACGTGCTATTTATTCATCAGAGTAGACAAAGTAAGCCTAACTATTAACAACTAGATAAAAGATAAAGACATCCTACTGTAATTACTCCTCAATCGAATTTACTGATTGGATGTTGCATTACTAATATAGCTCGAAATTGAACAAACTACAGTAAACGATTTGCTTATTATCGCATCTTAAACTTTGCAAGTACAGTATACTTACAGTATTGACGTGTACAGTACTGTAC